GAGGCTGTTCCTTGTTCGGGTGTTGTGGCCCTCGGTAGCCAGGGGGCGGCAGGATCCCGGCGCGGGCACAGTCGTCCCACAGTCGCTCCTGGAGCCGCTGCCGGTAACCAGCAGTATCCTGGGACAGGAGGTCCACCTTGTTTCCTAGCACGATCAGCTGCTTGGGGCCCACCATCGCGGGCAGGTGAGGCAGCAGGTTGTCCGGCATATCAAGGAGGTCCACCATACAGAGCACCAGGGAGGGCTCGGGCCGCCGCAGCGCGGCGCTCACCAGCTCCAGGTACCGCTCGCGGCTCATCTGCAGACGCAGGGCGCGCCGGTGATGAATCAGCCGCCAGCAGCGCTGGCACACCTTCCGCGCCAGCCCGCGGTCTTTCTGTGCAGCTCCTCCACGAAACCTGAACAGTTCAGGAGGCTGAGCTGCACCGTCGAGTCCGGATGCCCCACGACCAGGTGCACTTGCCGGCAGGCCATTAAAGCTGCTGTCCCTGCTCCTCCTGCCCTGTTGCATCTGTCGCTCCTTCTCCTCCTGTTGCTGCTGCTGCTGCAGCTTCCGCAGCTGGTCTTGGAGGCTCAGTGCGGGAGCCGGCTCCGGGACGTACTCGGGGAACAGAAAATGCTCCTCCATGTCAGCCCTTCCTTCGTAACCCCCGGGAGTCGCTGTCGGGCCACGGGGAGGCCCACGACCCAGACCCGATGCGTGCTGGGAGCAGCCGTCCGCGCATCTTCTCTCGTGGAGCTTCTCCGGCAGTCCATGTCGCACTACCATGAGAGCGGATGGCCGCAGGATCCTGCAGAACAGTGTAAGAGTGAGACGCGCGGGAAGCATGAGAAATGCGAAAGCAGGTAAAGGGGTGGAGCCACCTGTTCGCACGCGCACTGAGGCCCCAGAGTCGCGTTAATTACTGGAGGAAAGCTCGGGACGACCTGAGAGCAGTCATTTGTCAGTTGGCGCACTAGCGCTCCTCCTCCTAAAGCTAATGTGAGTTCTCGCGATGAAAGCTCCGTGGCCTGGAAATCCACTTAACACGGAGGTAAAATTACTAGGGACTTAGAGACTGAGCTGGGTTAGACAATTAGATTAGTTAATGAGAGTGTGTTTACTTTCAGGCTTCTTTAACGCGCCGCAGCTTACCCTACCTGCCGTTAAGAAATCACATTTTTAAAAGCTTTGCGTTTTTTAGTTTTTGGAGCTGGAAAAAAATTGAACATCGAATATCCCAGACACATGGCCATGGTTAGAATCATGGCCATTAATATATTTATTTGGCTTTTTTTCATGGCCACAATTAAAATCTATAATTAATACATCTTCTTGGCTTTTTTGTTTCAGGTGTTACTATTTCTGCAACAATATTAAAAGGCAGAACTCATTGGCTAGATCGGAGTCACAGAGTGTAGGTGTGGTTCTCGCGGTTAGCTCCACGAGGCTTCAACCCACAAATTGCGCATGTGCCGATTAACCCTTCGCGAACTTAGCCCACCCTTCGCGCAGGCGCACACGATATATAGGCGTCTTTGTGGGCGGAGCTTTGCGTGGGACGCAGCGTATTCTGGGAACGCCGGAGACGGAAATTACTTCGCCACACTGCGGTCGTCGGACTCGCTTGAGCGCTTGTCTGTGATTTCTAGAGTTCGGAGCTGGTGAACTGTTTTCTAACCTGTATGACGCGTACTCAGAACTCTCCACAGCGACCCATCTAAGGAGGGACACGTGAGGAGCTAGACGAATTGAGGATTTGCGGCCTTTCCCCCAGCCCGTCGCACAAGTGTCCGCAGTCGTGTGTCCCCCATCCTCCAGACCGGGAACGAAGCTAGGATTTTGGGAGGTGGAGGGTACAGGGATCGTAGCATTTATGTTTCTCGTCACGGTGACTCTATTCCACTGTTCGCTGCTGGATAAATCTGACACTCCGCGTACTGAAATAGCGTGCAGAACTATACGACAAATTCCATTGTTTTGGCTTTGTCTGAAACGACTCCTCCGTTTCCCTTTAAACCAGAATTAGTGGATTTGTTGAATAGTTGAATTTTTGAGCGTCAACCTGTACAAGGCATTGTGCTAGGCTCTGGAAATAAACCGGGGACAAATAATATAAAGTTGATGAGGAGGGGAGAGGATTGGTCTAGTTTGGCATTCCTAAGTAAATTGTTTCAAAAGATGACCTTTACATTTGCTCTTTCCACAAGGTGACATAGTTCTCAGATAGTATATATTTTACTGAGCAGAGCCAGTATATCTTGTTTTTCTTTTTACATATAGAATCCTAGTCATGTATAGTGTATTTTCTTTATATGTTTTAATGCTCCCTCTTCCATTCTTCGCAGCTGCTATTTCAGACTTCGTTTTCTTCTAGCTCCCAATCTCGTGGCCACCCCTCACATTTCTTCTTATTCTCTCAGCTGTTTCATGGAGATAATAGAAGCAAAAGCTTAAACTCCACTGCGTAAAATTCCGTCCCATTTTAATCTTGAGTCTGGAAATGTTTTAGCATCATTACATTCTCTTTTTCTTAACTCCTATCTCGGAAAGAAAGTTGAAAAAATTTTAGCTTCATGTTTTTGAGACGGTAGTAGGTTCTCACGGCTCACAAGCTAGAAAATGTAAAAGTGTTAAGTGTAAGGTCTTATTCTTGTTCACCGTCTGTCCTGTGTGAGCCCTCTCCACAGTAGGTAACCACTGTTCTTGGATTCTTATCTTTCCAGGTGCTTTAAGCATTTTCAAGCAAGTATAAATAGCATTCTGTTTTCCCTCTTTTTACAGACAAAAAGTAACATTTATACTTTGCTGCACTTATTTGTTGCGTTATATATTTGTATCTTTATCCAGGAGATTTTCGAAACAGTATGTAGAGAGCATGTAAATTTTTTTTTCACAGCTGCTAGTTTGTGTGGATATACCATAACTTAGAGTGTGTCTTCTTGGTTGATATTTGAGTTACTTCCAGTTTTTTCTGATTCAAACAATGCTGTAGTGAGTAACTTTGTACATGTTATTTTGTCTAATACAAGTAAATCTGTAGGATAAATTCCTAGGTATAAAGTTGTCAGGTCAAATGATATGCAAATGTTACAGAAAATATTGATATTTTGTTCGATGGTGCCAATTGACCACCATAGTGATTGTGCTAATTGATATTATCATTAACTATATAATAATCCTGTGGAAAAGGAGTTAATGTTATCTCATTTATTAAATCTGCTCCAGCATTGAGTCTTCATTCTACTCCTGCTTGTGTCCTTTGATACCATTATTAGATAGCCTCTCATTAGTTTTTAAACACTCCTTTTCAGCTGGATTCTTTCTCTGTGAAGTAGATTTCTCTTTTCCTCAAGAAAATAAGTTGAATGCTTTGTCCCCCCCCCCCAATATTGTAGGAAATCAGAGACTTCTTGATTGATAAATCAGATGGACCTTTTTTTAAACCTTCTCTAAACCCTGTAGTAGGCAACATTGTTGATGACTTCCTCGGGGAAACTCACAGGTTCCATCTGCCACATCAGTCTCATTTGATTCTTTTTACCTTTTTGACTTTCTCATTCTTTCTGCTGTTTATATTAACTCAGGATGATTTCATCCATTCTCCATGGCTTCAGTTACAGTCTGTATGTGGATGACTTCTGAGTACAGTTGGCCCTCCGTATCTGTGGGTTTTGCATGTGGAGATTCAACTGATCTTGGATGGAAAATATTTGGAAAAAAGTTCCAGAAAGGACAATTTGAATGTGCCTTGTGCTGACAACTGTTCATGCCTTGTTTTTTTGTTTTTTGGGGGGTTTTTTGCTCCCTTTTTTTGTACTTCACAGTATTGCCTTTTTTTTTTTTTTTACAAGTTTAGATTTACGGCAATTCTGTGTTGAGCAGGTCTACTGATGTCATTTTATTAACAACATTTGTTTACTTCATGTCTCTCTCACATTTTGGTAATTCTCACAGTATTTCAAACTTTTTTCATTATTTGTTATGGTGATCTGTGATCAGTGATCTTTGATTTTAGTGTGAGTCACTGAAGGCTCAGATAATGGTTAGCATTTTTTAGCAATAAAATATTTTTAAATTAAGGTATGTACATTTTTTAAGATACAATGTAGTGTACACTTAATAGACTATAGTGTAGTGGAAATATAACTTTTATGTGCTCTGGGAAACCAAAAAATTCACATAACTCAGGGTGGTCTGGAACTAAACCTGTATCTCCGAGGTATGCCTGTGCAAAGCATTTACATTGTATTTATGACTACTGATGTAGCATTTACATTGCATTAGTTATCATAAGTGATCTAGAAATGACTTAAACTATAAGGGAGAAAAGAATTTTTTTTTAATTAAAAAAATATGTAAGGGAGAATGTATGTTGGTTATATGGAAATACTATGCTATATTATGTAAGAGTTTGAGCGACGTCCGATTTGGGTATCCATTGGGCATCCTTGCACCAGTTCCCCATGAATACTGAGGGACAGCTTTATTTCCAATCTAGACGTCTTGCATAGCTAAATGCCACTAGACAACTTCACTTAGATGTCTCCTGGATGCCTCAGTGTTGTACTGCCCAAACTGAGTTGACTATTTTCCTTAACCCACTGCCCCTTCCAAAGCTGCTTCCTCCTGTGTTCTCCATCTTGGTGAATGGTATCACCCTCTTTTGTTGAAGCCAGAAGCTTGGGCATCATTCTTGATTCCTCTTTTCTTGCCCTATGCCTAATGAGTCGGCAAGCACTGAGGGTTCTGTCTCATAAATATAAAATCTGTTCACTTCTCCATCCCCTCTGCCGCAATTCTGGTTCACCATCTCTTGCCTAGATTACGTCCTCAGACTCTTAACTGGTTTGTGTGCTTTCAGTTTTCTTGTCTTTCTGATCCCCTCTCCACACTGGGGCAATAGTGATCTTTCAGAAATGAAAATCTGACCATTCTGCTAAAACCTTAGAATAGTTGCTTGAAGCTCTGTTGGTAAAGCCCAATCTTTTACCACTCCAACTTCACACTCTGTGCTTTGGCTAGACTGGTTTTCTTTTGTTCCTTGTATATCTTTCATTGTGGAGTGTTTTGCACTATTTGTGTTTTCTGCTTGGAATACTTTCTCTCCCCCTCCCACACACACTCCCTCCTTTTGCCTGGCTTACTCTGCATAACTCAGCTTTTGGGAAGTCTTCCCTACTGCCTTAGTTCCTGGTTAGAAGTGTCCATTCACTTTATTCTTCCTTTAATTGACTTCATCTTGTCCATATCTCCTCAGTAGGTGATAATCTACCTGAGGATACAGCCATTTTTTTTATCTTGTTGAAGGTAACATCTCGAATGCCTGGGACATAGTAAATGATCACATTCTATAAATATTTGATAAGTGGATGAATGAATAAATGAGCCTCTGCAGATTCATTTTCCTGCACATGACTAACAGTGGTTTTCCCTAATATCCTGTCTTCAGTCTTCATTCTTTATGTTAACTCTCCTTATTTTACCAACTACTTAATAATTCTGAACTCTTGGTAATTTAGACTCCTTATTTGACCTTCATATTTGTATCCATTTGCAAGTATTTAAAGGGATAAATAATCTACAGGTTTATTGAAAACTGACTTCATCATTTCCTTTCCTTTTCCCACCTTCTGCTGTGTGGCTGTGTTATTAACCTCTAGTCTGTCATCAAAGTTAGAAGTCACTGAGCTATTTTAGATACCTTTGTCTTTCTTACCACTCCCCTCGTGTGTAGGGATTGGTAATTTCAGTCCATTCAAGAAGTATTTATTGAATAATTTATTTTGGATATAAAATTTTGAATCAAAATCTTACATTTTATAGACTATATAGGTCAGAATAGAAAGACAAAAATGCAGCACACTTAATATTTTTAAATAAATTACTTTTAAATTTTTCTTGAGGGCGGTGCTTAG